ATATTTTCATCATCAGTTACACAACTACTTCTAGATGGACCGCATTGAGAATCAAAATATGACTTGTACTCACCATGAGAAGTCCGTGGCATGAATCTTATATGATACAGATCAACAATTACATCATCTAGTCTTAGGTGCACTATATTTTTAGATTTTAAATATGGACATCGAAATATTTCATCTGATATGAAGCTGGGTAGTTTTTCACTGTCTGAATGAAAATGTTCACCCATTAATGAATTCATCTGTTAATGTCTTTTGTTCTTGTGCCAATTGATTATACATCAAACTTCTTTGATTTGTAATATCCATAACCTACATATTGGCAGATGTAATTAAGTCGAGCAATGTATCTTAGATAATGCAAATAAGGAGATGTCAATAATTGGCAACATGACAACTTGACTATGATCCAATGGAGCTTCTTCAATTCGGCTCGCTAGTTAGCTTAAACTCAACTCGATAACGAGCTCGGGAGTCGAGCTTATTGAGTTTCGAGTTCGAGCTTTTTAATCGAGCTTGTATAATATTTAATCGAGATTTTCCTTTAGTGTCTCCCTATTAGTCTAACTCTATCTTCCATCAAATAGATGTTATGCACTGTCCCTATATATATATATACCTCCATTGCTCTCTCTCTCTCACCCTCTCACTCAGACTCTCTCTATTAGTGTCTCTCTATTCCTCACACCCTCTTTACTCTCTAAAGATTTTTTTCTCACTTTTTTACCCTATCTCCCTCTCCCTCTCTTACTCTCTTAGACACATACTTTCTCCCTCACTCATTCTATTATTAACTATCTCTTCTTTCTACCCCTCTCTCTCTCCCCCTTCTTCTATCTTATCCCTCTCTCACTTTCTTACTCTATCTCGCTCTCATTACGCCATTCTGGTACAATAATCACATGTCAAAACAATCATATGTAACATTGTCATCACTCCAATCAAACATATCATATTCTCTTATATATACCTCCCAGCATATAATGCTTATTTTAAAGAAAGCTCTTCGACCTATTCTCCTATGTATTATATCATATCATGTCTATGCCAACCTAAACCAATTTTATTTAATAGCCAACCTTTATTGCATGCACATATTTCATAGAAGATGTACATGTATATCATGTTACTTATACATAGGAAGTATTATATAAATCATAGCAACAATACTAAAAAATTAATATAGTATGCTCATTTTCATATATGCTTATTTAATCAGCAAATCAGTACATATATGCATATTATTTTCAAATAATTCATATCATATAAATTATGCATGTCATAATATTTTTGCATGTCATGTCACTATCTATATATATCATATCAATCTTATAAGCAAGTAAACCATTTTGCCAAAATTTTAATACAATTTTCATATATCAATTTCTTAATTATAGATTTTCTTAGGGACTATGCATCAATTATAGAAATGCATGAAGAAATATCAATATGATTATGTCAAAATATATAAAATGAGGAGATCTATAACACATTAATATGTGATAAAAGTTTACTAGAAATTCAAATATCACATCTTTTACTTATTAAGATCAAATTAAAGCCCATAATTCCTACCAAATTTAAAACCGCTAAAAATAGATGTAATGTAATGATCACCTACCTTAAGAGGAACACTTTTCCTAACTGGCTTAACGAACAACACCAACCCTATGACCTCAAAAATGATTATCTTTCTCTCTTCATTTTCTCCTTTTCTTCTCCCCAGTATTCTTCCCTTCTCACAACCAAATGAGGAATAATATGGGATGGGGGAGAGGGGGTTTATATATTTATATTAAAATTCTCAAATGTGCTCAGCGCTATGACGCTACCTTGCCTAAGACTATTGTGCATTTAAGCGTTTCTCATTCTCTAAAAACTTTCTCCTAACTTTGAAACCTCAATGTCGCAACACTGCTACCCTAACGTCATTGTAATATCCTTTGATATAGTGTCTGATCTACCTATACAACAACAATAACATTATCAAGCCTTTGTCCGACTATGTGGGGTCGGCTACATTAATCCTTTTTCTCCATCGTGTCATGTTAAAAGTCAAATTTTTATTTAAATATAATAAGAAAAAATCATTTCTTATATTCTCTAAATGAAGTCTTTTTAGATAAATCTCTACCTTTCTTAACATAAGTCAAATCTAATACCTCTACTTTCCTAACTAGGTCAGCAGAAGGCCACCATTTTTATGTTACCAAACCATCTAAGGTGGTTCTCTCTAATCTTATCTTCCATTGGAGCTACACCAACCTTTCATGAATATGCTCATTTAGTATCCTATCTCTAAGAGTAAAGCCACTCATCCACCTAAGCATCCTCATCTCCACTACACTTTAATTAGTATTATGCTTTTCTTTTAATGGCCAACATTTGGCATCATAAAGCATTTCAAGTCTCACCACCATCTTATAGAATTTTCTCTTAATTAAGGGGAACTTTTCTATCACACAACAAGCCCGATGCATTCATCCACTTCAACCATCTAACTTAAATTATGCTGATAATATCCCCATCTATTTCATATTACTCTGAATAAATATATCCAAGATATATAAAATGTGTACTCTTATTAAGGACTTGGTCACCCAAAGTCACAATTCCCTCACTAGGTCTATTACTACTAAAATTACACTCCATATATTCAATTTTATATCTACTAAAGAGAAAACCTTTAGACTCTAAGGTTGACCTCCATAATTCAAGTTTACCTTCAACTCTCTCTCTCTCTCTCTAGTCAATCTTATCAACAATAAAAATATCATCAGCAAAAAGCATACACTAAGGTACATCCTCTTACAAATGTCTGTTGAGAACATTCATGACTAAAGCAAAAATATATGAGCTTAAGGCTGATCCTTGATGTAATCTAATCAAAATAAGAAAATACTTGGTCAAACCACCGTGTGTTTAAATACAAGTAATAACTCATGCATACATATCATTAATGATTTGAACATAAACGTTTTTAACTCCTTTTGAAGAACTCTCCATAACACTTATCTTGGAACTTTATTATATGCTTTGTCTAAATCGATAAATAAAATATGTAGATCCTCCTCATTCTCGCTATATTTCTTTAGTAATCCTCTCAATAAATGAATAGCTTCCATAATAGACCTACCGAGCATGAATCCAAATTGATTTTGAGAAACAACAATATCTTGTTGCAACTTACGCTCCATAACTTGCTCCTATAGTTTTAAAGTATGACATATTAACTTAATTCCTCTATAATTCGTACAATCCTGTCATCTTTATTCCTAAAAGTATAAATTAACATACTCATTTGACATTTTTTTTTAATCTTCAAAATAGTATTAAAAAGTTTAGTAAGCTAAGAAATACCTTTATCTCGTAAGTATTTATTTGGAATATCATCATATCCATCAACTTTTCCACACTTCATTTTCTTTAAAGCCTCTCTAACTCTAGACTTACTAATATGTCGATAAAAATAAAAATCTTTATTTTCATTTAGGATGCTAAGGTCACTAAAGTCAATCATAATTTTATATTATTCATTAAAAAGTTTAGCAAAATATCTTATCCACCTTTGTTAAATATCAACTTATAAGAAAAATACTTTTTTATCTTCGTCCTTAATACACTTCTCTTGAACTAAATCCTTACTACTTTTATCTTTTGGTTTGACTAACTTATACATATATCTTTATCCCTCATAATTATCTAATATATTATATAAATCATTAAAAGTTAAGCTCTTGGCATCACATATTACTTTTTTAAATTCCTTATGTGCCTCTTTACAACTTTCCCAATTATCAAAATTTTTACATATAAATTAATTTTTATTATAAATTTTTTCATTTTTTATCTTTTCTTGCATATTTAAATTCCACCACTAACTTTTTTTACTATTTAGAGTATTTCTCTTCGAAACTCTAAGCATATCTTTTACAATATTCTTAATATCACTAGCCACTTTTTCCAATATAATACTAGCATCCTCATACATAAATAAAATCATAAGATCTAAAATCATACTCTCAAAAATTATTTTGTTAATATTATTTAAATACCCCTATCTAATCCTAGAATATCATTTGACTTTATTTTTTATTTTCTATCACTTTATCTTAAAGTCTAAAACTAATAATCGATATTGAGTACACAAATGTTCACTCGGAATAACTTTACAGTCTTTGCAATTTAAACGATCTAATTTTCTTATTAAAAAATACTCAATTTGGATTTTACTATATCCATTTTTATAAGTGATAAGATGCTCATCTCTTTTCTTAAATAAAGTATTAGCTACTAAAAATTATAAGTTAAAAAAAATCTAATATAGTCCTACCACTTTCATTTGTTGTTCTAAATCCATGACCAATGGGAATGCTTTTAAAATCATCTATCTCTCTACTAACATGTCCATTTAGATCTCCTCCAATAATTTTTTTTTTCTTAAAGAGGTGTCTTTTGTATTAATTCTTCTAAGTTATTACAAAATTTTAATTTTAAACCCATATCCAAATCTACTTGAGGAGCATAATCACTTATAATATTAATAATCTTAGCATCAATAATAATCTTTAAAGTTATAATTATATATCTAATTATGTTAATTTTTATAAATCATCCTTCAAACTCTTATCTAAAATTACACATACACCATTTCTAATAAACTCCTACTCGAATACCATAGTTTATAATTTAAACTATTAATCTCCTTAACATTCTCTCCAACCCATTTATTTTTCTGAATGCACATAATATTTATCTTCCTATGAATCATGATATTTATTAATTTCATTAATTTTTCTATAAGGGAGTATACATTCCAAATTTCTATCCTAATTTTAGTTTCATGGACTAGCTTCTTTGCCCACATTCGTCCTTAATGTGGAAAACCTTGTCCATTTAACACTACACTTGGGCACCGGTGCAACG